AAACACGTTCGTTTAGATAGGGAGGAGTAAAAGATTGATATAAAAAATTAGACCATTTTTTTGCAAGCTTATATCAAGCATATACATGTTAGTAAATAATTATACCCAATTTATTGCGTGAACACATTTCGTTATGAATAATACAGAAAAAATCGAATTATTAGAGAATTTATTTTGCATAAAGACAAAATTAATAAGTATGGCTCAAAGGAGTAACGAATTAACTTATAAATTTGGAAAAAGGGCTATAAGCTTATTAAAATCATACAAGGCTGCAGGCCATTTAGCTCAGTTACAATTAGACGAAGTAACAGACACTATGGAAGAAAGAGAACAATTAGCAACAATTAGCAAAAAATATTAATATTTCTTGGTATCAATATCATGATGGGAGTGAGTAAATTACCTTCTCTTCGGGACTATTGGTCTTTAACTTCTCAATTGCATAATACTTGTATAAGCTCTATAATGCCTCTGACTAGGTTTTTTACTCTACTACATTACAAAATAAAACCCTTACTAGACACTCTCTCAAAATACTATTTAAGATACTACAAACTTTCTGAAAACAAAGTTTTGATGAAAGCATGATAAAAATTCAAGAACAAAAGTACCCTGAAACAATACTGTCCGGTTAATCCTATAAAGAGAGGTTTCAAAGTTTCAGTTAGAGCAGATAAACATGGTTTTGTCTGTGAATTTCGAATTTATACAGGAAAAATTAATGGTAGAGTAGAAAAGCACTTAGGCAAGAGAGTTGTAAAGGATTTGACATCAAAAGTACTTTTAATAATTATCAAATTAACTCTATAATTTTTTTACTAGTATTAACTTGATGATTGACCTGAAAGCATGTAACATTTTAACATATGGTACGGTGACGAGTAATCGCAAAGGCTTGCCTAGAAATCAGATAGTTAACAAGAATATAGAAAGAGGAAATTATGAATTCCGAACCTCATACAAAGGTATTACTTGAGTGAAATGGCAAGATAATAGATCCATCTATTTTTGTCTAATTTTCACAGTCCTTGCATAAGTACTACTATAGGTAGACGCCAAAAAGATGGAAGCCTCCTTCCGCTCACTTGTTCACAACTTATTCGAGACTACAATAATTATATGGGACGTGTAGATAAAGCAGACCAGTTGAAATCTATGTACGAGATCAGTCACAAAAGTAAAAAGATGACTGCGTCCGCATCTGCGACACACTAGTAATTATCATTGCGGCATAGGCCTCAATTTATAAACAAATCTTAGTTTAATAAGTAATAACATTGTGATAATTAAGACCGACTTATGTTAATCATTTACTGAGCCTTCAGAAGTGCCCATTCCCATACTCGTATGCTCGCATCAGCCATACGCCTTCGTGCTTTCGTCTCCATTTTCGGAATCCATAGCAGAATTCACCAATACTTTTGAGCGAGGCTGAAGCTGCCTAATAAAAGTAACGGCAGTAATCAACGTGAACTTCGCTCGGATACAAAGGTATACGCCCAAGATAAGGTCGCAGTGCAAGGATCGACGCAGAGAAAGCATTTGTGATTGCCCGTGGGAGCAATCGTCAATAAGCACACAGAGCGTCGCCAAAGCTTACGCCATTGTGTCGACATGGCGACGCTCGCGTAACTCGCGCTTATCGTATGTGTACGTGAAGAGGCTTGCCCGCGAACCTAGACACTGCGTAGTTCACCAAACATCCTACCCGGTTATAATATCTAATAATATCTTAGAATTATTTTTATATATATTGTGACGGTAAACGTCTTATTAGCGCTGACAGGTCAACCGTGCGGCTGCCTGCGGGGGCAGCACCTACTGGTTGGGGAAAGATGTAACGAGGGAATCCGGCACGAGACGGGACGGAACGCGCGCGTATGAAAATGAAGCAGTCGAGGATTAGCTATCGATATCTCAGCTTCTGTTAGTGACGAAAGAGAGTTTTCACCGAGTTTTCCAGAGTGCCGAGACGAACTGATTAGAGCAGAGATAGGCTGTGCCTTCGCCTGACGGAGACGAACGCGTGTGAGCGTGTGTGAGTGTGAGGTTTCGCCATCGACGGCGAAATCGAAAGCGAGAACCGCCTGGTCATGGAAGCGGACTTCCCCGAGATTTGGTTGTGAACTTTTTCTTTCTCGTTCACCGTGCGGCTGCTAATAAGGTAAGCTGGCCAGCTTAATTTCGCGATTGCTATAGAATTGTCGATAACTAATCTCTCATACTCCATAAGAAGCGTGCATGTATTAACCCGGCGAACAAAGAGCGGCGAGTGATCCGACACTGCATGTTATTGTCGCGCGTGCGCTTTGTAAACATAAACACGCGGGCCGAATACATTGTAGAAATAAGAAGTAATAAGCGATCTCGCATGTGATCTTGACTGTAATTTCAATGTTATTATTTCACGACAGTAGAAAGTTGGTTGACTGACACCCGTTCCCTCCTGCTCTCCGATTTTCGAATTTGAACGGATATCCACCCCATTACAATATAAATATATTAGAATATCTTCCTAGATTTTTCAAGTAATTTTTTTTTCATATTTAGATGATTTAGCGAATATGAGGGTGGTTTATCAGTTGTATTACGCCCTTATTAATATGAAAATACATTATTTTCAGTTGAGTTTTATCCTCGTATTTTTGTAGCTTTACGTATATGCGTGTGTTTTACGTGTATGTGTGAGTATATGCATCGAGAGTCACCGTGGTAATAATATACCTTCTATATATTTAAACGCAGTTCTGTGAACTTGTTTAAATTCGCGAGCCCATTGAGTCGAATGAGAAAAGCGGAAATCATCGTGTTTTAGTTCTTGTCAAACCTGCTAAGTTACGGCATATTCGTAGCTTCTCATAGTAAATCTGGTGATTGTCATGGGATATGAATTATTAGAGTTTCCGCAAGCAGTGTATTCTCCAATGAATTGTATTCTTGCCCTACTAAAAATTCTTACATCAATTTTAATGTATGAAACATCGCTAGTCCCGTAGGATGATTTCGCCTCCTCTTATGCTGGAACCTATTCTCATACAACATCTAACATAAGAATATATAAAAATGACTCCTATTCTATTCTATTAAAAATGAAATTTATAATAAATCAGAGTATTCATGTTACCAAGGCAACCACTGTTGTTTATTATAAATTTTTATAAATGTTTGGTTTCTTACTTATGATCAGGCGTAATATATTATAACTAACTCTATGATCACTCTTTATTAACAACATCAAAAACTTTATTTTGAAAATCAAAACTACGAGTATGGTTTTCTCTGTAACTATAAAGTAACCTATTCATTTTTTTTAAGTCTCAAAAATGATGTAATTGTATTTTTTGCTTAATATTACATGTAAAAGTTCAAATATAAACATCAAAAATATATTTATATTGAAAGTCACTATCTGTATGGAAAAGTTATTTGTGCAACAAATATTTAATAATGTTTTTAACATACTTATCTTTCACGATTAAAATATCTACAAATAAATTTTATATTCAAAAACTTAGTATTGATTAAATATTGTGCAGTTGGTGCAAGTTTTTCATTAATACATTAGGTAAAATAAATTGCACAGTAATGTGATTTATAGAATATACAAGCTTGTAGCTTTAGTATTAGAACAATTTACTCACTATAATAAGTAGAAAAATGTTGTAAAGGAAAATACAAAAATAGAAACAAATTTTCAATGATTTTTTCATGTTAAATGGTAAGATCAACTATTTCGTCAAACCTGAAAAATCTTAATTGAAAAAATTAAGTTGGTGCATTGGATATCGTATACATAGATATACAACTTTTTAGCATTTTTGAATAAATGTTAAAATAATATTTATTAAATTGCAAAAATTCAATCTCAGGAATGCAAAGATATACAGACTTAAAAAGAAGACTTAGAAAAATCACTAATAATTATATATATTAATTTCAAAGTAAATAAAATACAAATAAAATGTTTACTGAACTTTTATTTAAATTAAATAAGGTACTTTATTTATACTACTATTAAACCACTATTGCTACATGTTTGTGTGATCATCATATTAATATGTATCACATTAATAATATGTATCAAAATAGTTTAATTTTTGTGATTCATGTCCATAACAATACTAAAAATTAATAGAATCTAAATTCATGAAAACCAATAGAAAATTTTATAAATTGCAGCAAGTAAAACTGGGATTTAAAGAAATAAATCATAAAAACTAAGACCTAATCCAAACCAACATGAAATATCTCTTATTATTGAATTATTTGTATAAAGTAGCAAAAATACTTTCGATAAAATTTTGTTCATTTTTTTATTACTGTTGTTTCAAAATGAATAAATACAAATATTTTTAGCATATTTCAAGACAAGTAGTGTATCAATAATTTTTAAAGCCAAGACTCAAATTTATATCGTTTTTCATTGCTCAGACCAACTTTATGTAGTCTTATAACATCAAGCTAGTAATTATGCACATAATTATATTTTGCACATTAACTATTATGCACAATAATATGGTATAAATCAAAATGAATCAATTTTTATGCTATTGTACTATGCACAGTGAGCAAATAATTCATGTGCACAATTATTGACTTACCTTCATAATTATTGTTTTAATAAACAGTTAAATTTGATGAAAATTTACACATGTCAGAATAGATCTTGATTCAAATAAACAATTTTTTATTCATGGTTTACAACAATCAAAACAAATTTCCATTAATACAGCTGCAACTTCAATATTGTTCATTTATGTTCTAAAAGATATAAATATAAATATAAACGATTATCTAGGAAATTTGTAATTTTTTTATACAGTCAACTGTTTATATTACTGTTCAAACAAGCTACAAAAAAATGAAAAACACTATACATAAGTCTAATTTTTGAACAAATGTAGTGCAAAAAAACAAAATAACCATTGATCAAAAGAAAGAAATATATATATAATGAATTACATTATTAGAATATTAGAATACTATACATAACTTACAGATTGAAATCTTTTCCTATAACACTTTCAATGTCAAATAAGATTTTTTCAGCATCGAAAAAATTATTTTCCAATTTCTTCATTCTTTTCATGGAAACACGGTGTAAAATTTCAGTTCAGTTTACTACATGTCGGCTAGTACCTCCGTAAGTTTAACACACTCATATCAAGGATTGGGAAGTAATATATATAAAAAAATTCCGCATGATCTGCTCGTTAAAAATCTGATAATAAACAAATTCCGCATCGCATAATTGTCGAGATATTGGTAAGAATAAATCTGTGTCAGAGGATGTTTTACAATTTTATTTTCTAGCTATCAGTAGCACCTATTTTTTAATTAAGGTGGCTTGAGGGATATGTTATAAAAACCTGTAGCAACTTATAAATGTAATATAATATGCTTCGATCACTCTAGATTTAATTTCTATAAAAAAAAATAGGGGTAAGTGACTATATTATTATATAATAATTGATTAAAAAATGTTATTTTTTAACACGGGTTCTAATGGAATTTTGTCAAGTTGCAGTGATTAAATTGATTTTAAAAGCTTATAAAAAGTTGAGCAACGGCCAAAAAAATATATACTATAAATTACTAAATTTAAAATCAAAAGAAAAAAAGAAAATTATATAAGATGAGAAAAAAAAATTATAAAAGAAAAGAACAATTATTTTTCCATATTTTGTAGCATTCCTGGCCGTTACACGAAAAATGTGGCAACGCTGCATTCGAGCACAAACAAATAACCGCGGTATCTAAGAGTTTTTAAATATTAGGAGCTTTAAATTACCCAGTTTTAACGATAAATACTTATAATGGAAAGGTATGCAATGGAAAAATAAATATAGAAGAAAACAATTTTTTTATTCCAATAAAGGGTATAGCCGGGTTTATATGTTGATTTGGGCCCCTATCTGGTTTAGAAAACCAAGTATGGTGTCATGTTTGGCATCGAATGAGAAGTCCTTTTCAATGTTGTCCAGTCCAAAAAGTCAAGTTGGGGTAAAATGGGACATAAAAAACCGTTTTTCGTCACTTTTTTCACGTTTTGTCCTTAAGCTCAGCCGCTAATCAATATTTTTCGACGATTTTTTTTTAGTTTTACTCGTGAGAAGATTTCCTAACCAACTAGCGTATTTCAAAAATTTTTCCAACACATGGCAGCTCGCTATAATGATTTTCACGCGAAAAATTACGATTTTTTTCATTTTTTTTCTCTTTTTCCTTATTTTTCGGTATGAAGACTTTCTTCGGCCAACTTTTAACCATTCGATTTCTCGGACAAAATTACAAAAGAATATGTCTTCAAAAATATAAAATAATTGGTGCGTCAAAGAGAGATTGCCCAAAAACTACATCAGAAATACCATTTTCTGCGATTTTTCGTACCATCTCGCCCCATCATAAGAGAAACATTGCTTTAATGGCTTTCTTACCGCTCCCGTTCTTTTTCAACCTAAATTCATGAGAAAATTCATCCATTGAATGCTAATACAAGATATATCCTTGCAAGATATAAACAAAAATGCCAAAATCTGCTTCAATCTGTTAACATATACATTTGACAAATTCATGTGTGGCGGATATGGTCTCATCATATGTTCTCGTATATATATATGTGTGTGTGTGTGTGTTTTATAATAACAAATGTATATTAACATACCTCAATTAGGCATCCAATCTTGTACGTTGACTGCGTGATTCTAATGTAACATGAAAACAGAGTTTTTTCTGATAGTTATATGTCTGGTCTTCATTTGTCACTGATACGAATCAATACAAAATAAAATGTACTAAATAATAATTTAAAAATTAGTGGAAAATAAGAGCATTTTTAATATTAAGAGGACATCGGCATTGATGAAATTACAGCATTTTTATTTCGGACTAATAAGAAATCTATCATCTAAAAACGAAATGCTTCATGCATCTCATTATTTAATTCATATCACGTTTTAATCCCTGTCATTGTCTTCTTCGCTATCGCTTGTCTCTTCTTTCTCACCCATTTCTCTTTGTGCAGATTCTCCGACAGTCGATATTGTTTCACTGTGACTAGCATTCTCTTCGTTTATAGCTTCATCCAAATCAACTCCTTCTTCTCGGAAGAGCGTTGTAAGCTTTTCAGCAGGCCGAAAAATTCTACTCTGATATCTCGCACAAGATAGATAATATATGATGGCAGCTACATGGCAGCAACAACCTACAGTCCTTAAACCATTTGGTCAATCGCATATACTATATCTCTGTATACCACTAAGTCCTTGGGTCTTGGGTTTATAGTCGATGTAGCATTTGTAAATTTTGCTTTTTATGTGACATGATTGTACTGAAACTGCGATGATGTTCTTATAAGCTTTGACATATTTCAATTCAAGTTCATTTTTTTCATCTAATATTTCAGCCAAATATGAGATCGCCATGGCAAGCTGATAAGTACCAGAAAATAAAATTTTTAAACTCCTTTTAGTTATTTCTGGGAAATCATCAAGATCATTCGCATTAAATTTTTGAAACGACGTAGCTCGACGGCTCCATTTTGCTTCTTCCACTTCTTTTGCTAAAGTATTTTCGGTATTTCTATGGCTCAACATTCTACTAATTATTTCGTCGCTCAAACTATCGTCTGTCTTGAATCTTTTTCCAAATTCATTGTTTAAATAACACGCTATTCGATTCAAGGACTTTGCCTTAAGAAGCAGTTTGTTATCGAGTTGGTGATGGAGAAGCTTATGCTTCTGTTTCAATTGTCCGTGAGTTCCTTCGATTACCCAGCGTAATTTAGTTACAAAACGCGACTCATTAGTTTCCTTCGTTGGAAGTTGTTTTCTCTTTCCCTTCAGAGCGGGCATTATGACAATAAATTCTTTTTCTTCTAACAAACTAACAACATCTCTGAACCCACGATCAACAATGATAATATCACCTTTTTTCATGAACTGAAACATGCTGTGTGGATCAACCATTACCTTTTTCATGATGTGAGCGTTATTCTTTGTACCCTCATAGGGGCCACATGTATCCACGATGTACCCAATTGTTGTAGTAACTGTAAAAGGTTTCACCAAAGGCATTTTCTTTTGTCCTGAGTATGAGTTGCGCTGAAATTCATTATTAAAACTTTTTTGGTGCTTGAGATAAGTACCGTCGAATATTAGAGCTAATTGATCATGTTTGAGATTGAGTAATTTGCGAGCATCTAAAGATGTATGGTTATCAATCAAATATCTCCTTGCTTCATTACGTTCTAATTACGTCATATTTTTTTTCACACCAAAATTCAAAGGTAAAATATCTGTTTCAAAAGCTCTTATTACATCACTACAAATATCAGATACTAGTTGTTCTCGATCGAATTTGAAAATAGTAGCAATATTACTGTTTGATGCTCCAGATTGTAACTTGAATAAAAAAGTGATCAAGCCTTCGACCTTGGTTCGGTTTTGCGAATTATTCAGCGATTTCATCATTGAACTTAACTGTTTTATATTTTCACTGGTGAGTCCTGTGAGCGTTTTTAGTCGATTTTCACTGAGATGAAAGGCCCCAGCTTCATGAAGGAGAGACTTATTGCTCTCGACAGTTAATCCTTCAATTAGTCTTGTGACTTCGTCAACTGGAATTTGAGAACATTTTGAAGTGATTTTTATTCTGGCCGAATCATCTTCGTAAAAGCGATCGTTCAAAATATGTTCCTTACAAACACGAGCACCATTGGATATAAAAATCTGCATCTTTTTATAACAATGTAATCTAGCTTCAAATGATGCCCGTTGCCTATTGTCCAATTTCCCACAAACTAAACAATATTTTTCAGAAGCAGAACATCTGGGTATTGGTAATGAAATGTAATCGATTTTTGGTAATTGATACGGCTGATATAACGGATCGAAAGACGAAGACTGGGACGAATCAGTTGTTTGAGACTCCGAAGTGGGTTGACTTTCAGGAGTGTTATGACTTACTGTGCTAAGTTGGTTCGCGTGATATACTTCTCGTTATACAAGAAGTAATCGTACTTTCCGTACCTGATAAAGTGCTAGGCTCAAAGATAGATTTATGGGATGTGTCTCCACTTTCACTTTTAGGTTTTTTTGCTATGTGAAATACGCATCGCTTCCTACAACGATTACAAAGATACTGTCCTATCTGAGTTTTTATAGAAAACTGTTTAAAAATTTCTGTAATTTCTTCTTCATTACTTATTATTTTAACATGTTGCAATGATACTTTACGTAAAGAAATGCTGCATTTTACGCATTTTTCAGTGATAAAACTTCTTGAACCGCTTTGTTGACGGGAAGCTTCCTGAAAAACCATAATATATTTGAAAAATTTTTCAAACGAAAGTCGAGTTGCATTTTCAAAAAGTACATTAATTACCCCTTTAACATCTAAATTGCTCATTTTGTACGTAAAAATAATAAGTAGGCATTTTTTAATACATATCAACTTGAAATATCCAAAAAATTGTTTCTTAGTTACTTAAGAAAATTTAATACTCTGATATACTACAATTACTATCTTAAAATATTTTTTTGTTAATGTCGCAAAACTTTACATTCACGCCATTTGAAATTAATGCTCCGGGAGCATGGGTAATTCTTATCGAGAATGGCTACACAACATAATGCGCAAGAAGCATGGAGACTATATTAAGGTCGCTCCTAAAATTTTGGTCAAATGGCAGATAAATATCAAATGAAATATGTGGTTTTGTTGAGATTTTGATGAATAAATTAGTATGATTCAAAATGCAGGTCGCCAAGCAAATACCGGAGATAATAAAGTTTTGAAATGTACCTTCTTACGAGAGGTTATATGGTTATGTAGAATTCATGTGATTCACAGTGAAAAAATATGAATATTCATATACTTGAACATCACAAATCGATTTCAAAAACTAGATATATAAAGTTGAAATATCTTTTTATGAATGCATACAAAAATACTTATGGCGCCGAGCAAAATAACAAGATATTTATTGTCAAAACGATGCATTTCAGGGACGAAAACCTAAAAAGGGTAACTTGAAAATTGAGACTTTTGTTTTGATGTTTGTTTTGTATTCGGTACTCAATTGGAAAGTTATGAACCACTACTTAGATATAAAGTTAGTTGATAATTTATTTTTGTCAGTAAGTCAAGAATTTTGTGAAGCCCCGAACGAAGCCCCGACGTGACACGGTCCGTCTTTGAGGAGCTCCTTAAGGGGGGTTTCAGCACCGTAATGGTTCTCAATAGTTTCTCAGTTTTGTATCTGCGACATAGAAAAGCTACCAGCCTTCTACTTGAATACTTGTAGATAATAAGTAATAAAAAATAATAATTTTATATATCCTTAATTATACTTTAGAAAAAAATTCACGAAACAAAAAAAAAAATTCTTCCCTCAGAAATTAAGGAATTCACAACTTTATTTAAAAAGAAACAATTTTTCGCACTGTCGAAAAATATTATATTTATTTATATATATTTCTTCAAATCTGAGACACGAATACTATTGATTCCCACAATACACACTCTCACATTCTATTACTCAAAATCCTTATTCCAAGAAAAAATTTTTTTATTTTTCAAGCGCTTTTTCTCTTATTTCAACTAATCCAAATATCTCAAATCTATTCAATAACTTTGATTAATTCAATATTTTCATGCAATGTAAAGTTCGGACAATAAATAATTAAATCCTTTAACCACTGCGTTGTTCTCGTTCATGTTTTGTTCGTGTCTTTTTGAGTTTATGTATTTATTCCATCTACTAGCAATTTCCTTGTCTCAAAGATTTCTACAAGATTTCCTCAACATTTTTCCATTCTTATATATACACAAACTTCGTACTTATGCGGTGATAGTCGTATCAAAGTTATTGCTTTCTAACATTTAGTTAAATAAAATTTTTTAATAAAATAGTTATGAGCAATTTATGTTAAAGGAAGTTAAAAGAAATAAGTTTAAAGAAATAACAAGGTGTATTTTTAATTAAAAACAAGGAGAAGAAAAAAACTTACCATTCTGTTCTATAACGACAAATCTATTCTTTCTATTTATTAATATTCCTCAACGTTTTAGGATAATTACTAATATCTATAAAATATACAACAGCAGGTATTTACTTAGATATTCTAAAGAAATAATAAAACTTCAAATACAGATTTTGATAACAATTTTTCTTCAATAGTACATTACCACAGATCAAAAGTGTTTACTTTCTCAATCTAAAGGCAGACACAAAATAAATCGTATAACACTGTTATTTTTATTTAAGCGTATACATCGTATACGCTTCGGATGTTTACGCTTCTCGTGGCGGGTCGTCTTACCTAGCTAAGCACGCTGACTGCAGCATGCAGTCCCACACGAATACTGCTAGCTATGCTATGTCCGAATGGAAATCCCGAGAGCAAGGTTTTATTCGATAGTATATATTTGTAACATAATAAGACGTCACGTAACAAACACCTACCACATAATATATAGTGAGCATACACAGACGGTTCATACTGTTGGTTCTGAGTTTTTACACGAAGCGCCCCATGACGGATCTGCAATACAGAATCTTTGAAATTTAAAAGTGTCATAATGGTATAGGTAAGTTCATTGCGATGCACATATCAAATAATTTGTATCACAATTTATATATGAACCACATGTATTTTTATTAAATTAAAATGAAAAAATATATGTATATATATACATATATACACACACACACTCACACACACACACACACACACACACACACACACACACACACACACACACACACACACACACATATATATATGTATATATATATATATATATACGAGAACATATGATGAGACCATATCCGCCACACATGAATTTGTCAAATGCACATGTTAACAGATTGAAGCAGATTTTAGCATTTTTGTTTATATCTTGCAAGGATATATCTTGCATTAGCATTCAAGGGATGAATTTTCCCATGAATTTAGGTTGAAAAAGAACGGGAGCGGTAAGAAAGCCATTAAAGCAATATCTCTCTTATGATGGGGCGAGATGGTACGAAAAATCCCAGAAAATAGTATTTCTGATGTAGTTTTTGGGCAATCTCTCTTTGACGCACCAATCATTTTATATTTTTGAAAACATATTCTTTTGTAATTTTGTCCGAGGAATCGAATGATGTATGTTAAAAGTTGGCCGAAGAAAGTCTTCATGCCGAAAAATAAGGAAAAAGAGAAAAAAAAAATGAAAAAAATCGTAATTTTTTGCGTGAAAAACCATTATAGCGAGCTGCCATGTGTCGGAAATATTTTTAAAATACGCTAATCGGTTAGGAAATCTTTTCACGAGTAAAACTAAAAAAAATCGTCGAAAAATATTGATTAGCGGCTGAGCTTAAGGTCAAAACGTGAAAAAAGTGACGAAATACGGATTTTTATGTCCCATTTTACCCCAACTTGACTTTTTGGACTGGACAACATTAAAAAAGACTTCTCATTCGATGCCAAACATGACACCATACTTGATTTTCTAAACCAGATAGGGGCCCAAATCAACATATAAACCCGGCTATACCCTTTATTACAATAAATACATTATCATAGTATAATTAACACAATACGAAATAAAATTTAATCATTTTTATTTTTCAGAGATTTAATTAAGAAAATACTGATTCTTACTAAAATTATCAACTTTTTTACATTTAATGACTCCTGGATTTAACACGTATATTTATACTATAATAACGTTTTATATTAAAGTTCTTTTATTTTTTTTTTTCATTTTAAAGATACAAATTAACACAAGAATAATTCATTTACAATTAGTTTTATTCTAAAATCTTAGTTCAATTTGTTATGCCTAGACGAGGAGATGTTATGGTTAGACGTAATAATGTTTAAAATACTGTCGCGTTGGTAAAAGTTGGATCTTAATCAGGAGGTATAAGCGGAATTTCCGTGACCGCAGCACACTTATTCATGAAAAATTAGCAACCCAGGTATCAAAAAATTCCGCGTAATCTGCGCGTTCCAAATCTGCTGTTAAAAAAATACCGCGTCCCTTAGTTGCTAAGTAATTGTTTAAAAACATGTTTGTGCTGGGTCCTTTTTCTAAAAATGATATCTCAACAACGGTTCATTATTCTGATAATCTGATGACGCCAATCGATTGCGCTAATTTTATTCAATCGATAAAAAATTTGATACGGTCGAAAACAATGAATATTTCACTAAAATAGTTAAATAATTACTTTCGCTATAAAACTGGCTTCCGGCGCATGCGCAATAAAAAATCATCTGTACTCAGTAGTCTCAGTACTGATATATATTGCAACGATTACCGAAAATCGTTCGACTCGCGTGAGGTTAATAAGCGGCTGAACGAGAAAAGCCGCGATCGGTTCGAGAGAGAGAGAGGGCGCGTAGGGGCAATGACCGGGAGGGGAGAGTTCGGTAGCCAGTATGACTGTGTCACTCAGTCTGGATACATTGAGCTAACCCTTTCGAGCCGTCAACGCGTTTTGTGGTCGTGCGAGAAAACAGGTGTCTCCGAGTATCGTAGAACTTGAGTGTGGTGTGCTGAGTGCGGAGAGAGCGGCAGGAAGTCCGGCTAGACACTCTCTCTACGGTTTCATGCTCCTAACGTTTTGGACTTTAATTGAGTGAGATCCAGAAAGCCAGGGTTAACCGTTGGAAAGTGCTGCAGTGGGTGCGCGCATAGCGAGGCGTGTGCGGTGGCAACAAGCATCGCTGCGAGAGTG